CCCGCCACAACGCCCGGCTATTTTTTGGGGTGCAGCCATTATTGTTGTTGGCGGGTCCGGGCTGGATTCGAATCCGCCACCTTAGGTGTATGTGGCTGGCACCTTAGCTGCTTGAGCCACAGGCGCCGAGCCGAGAGGTCTTATAAGCATGGGAAGAGAGGTATTTCTCTCACTGTGCATAGGACAGGCCACATGAGGACAATGAGAAGGAGGCCATCTGCAAGAAGAAAATCCTCACAGAACCTGACCAGACTTCAACCTTGACCCTGAACCCATCTAGCATTCACAACTGTGAGAAAATAACACTCTGTTATTTATGGCTAGCAGTATACGATATTTTGTTATGGCACCCCAAGCCAAGAGAGGGGACATTGATTAGACAGAAGTCAACAGATCTATGGTTTTCTTGCTGTCATGGGTCATTAAATGCTATGAATCATAGATAAAGAGGGACTCCCATGGTGGAGGGAAAGGAATAAAGCAATATTAAAGATTTAATTGTTTATTTTTCTTATAATAAACACAGTGACAATATTAAAATAATGAAACTACTGGTTATGTTAACAATGTACTATTCCTATGGAGTGTAGGTGAAGGTATAGAAATAATCAGCTCAGAAAATGTATTATAAATACATTACAATTACAGTTATTGCAATCTATCTACAGTGTAATTATAAAGAACATTACTATAATGAAGACTTGAGTCCTTAATGATGTCCTTGTGGGGGCAGCATTGCACTGGGGTTAATATGAGGAACACTGCAGTCAGCTGGCCGTGGTTTTGAAGCTTTCTGTGCTATGTACTAGCTTTGTGAAATGGTCATGATTGTGCCCAACTCAAACATTATGTAGACTGAGTTTATAGTTTTAATGAGCCTAGGACAGACCCTGATACACATTCAACATTTTGCTAATCATCATGATTAGCACTATGCATTGGGTTCTAAGTTATTTCATTCTCATAAAGACCTTGGTTTTGTTATTTTGTTTTTTGAGATAGTCTGTCGCCCCAGGCTGGAGTACCATGGCATCAGCCTAGCTAATAGCAACCTCAAACTCCACAGTTCAAGCAATCCTCCTGCCTCAGTCTCCCAAGAAGCTGGGACTATAGGTACCTGCCACCACACCCAGCCAACTGGCTAGTTTTCCTATTTTTAGTAGAGATGAGGTCTTGCTCTTGCTGAAGCTGGTCTCAGAACTCCTAAGCTCAAGTGATCCTCCTGCCTTAGCCTCCCAGAGTGCAGGGAGGATTATAGGCATGAGCCACTGTGCCTGGCCTCACAAAGACCTTGTAATGGGCAGACTGTTTCCCTCTGGTTTACACAATTATCATCATTCCTAATACTGGTATCAACTGCAAGGTTAGTATTAACATAAACGCAAATGACACTATCAGGCGGCACCTGTGGCTCAGTGAGTAGGGTGCCAGCCCCATATACTGAGGGTGGTGGGTTCCAACGTGGCCCCAGCCAAACTGCAACAAAAAAATAGCCGAGCGGGGTGGCACCTGTGGCTCAGTGGGTAGGGTGCCAGCCCTGTATACCGAGGGTGGCAGGTTCAAACCTAGCCCTGGCCAAACTGCAACAAAAAAATAGCCAGGCATTGTGGCAGGCACCTATAGTCCCAGCTACTTGGGAGGCTGAGGCAGAATTGCCTAAGCCCAAAGGGTTAGAGTTTGCTGTGAGCTGTGACACCAGGGCACTCTACCGAGGGTTAATAACTGAGACTCTGTCTCAAAAAAAAAATAATAATGATAGCCGGGCATTGTAGTGGGTAACTGTAGTCCCAGCTACTCAGGAGGCTGAGGCAAGAGAATCACCTAAGCCAAAGAGCTGGAATTAGATGAGAGCTGTGATGCCATGGCACTCTACCAAGGGCGACAAATTGAGACTATGTCTCTAAAAAATAATAATAAATAATAATAATGACAATATCAGTGTAGTAGTCAGCCTACAAGACTGCTCTCAATCAAACTCACCTCTTGGTATTCAAACTTCTATGTAGTCCCCATTAACAATGAACAACACTAACCAACATAACCAACACAGCTACCACATCGTAAATACATTCAAGTAGTTTGAATGTATAGTTATAATGGGGTTTGTGTGGAGAGAAAATGTACTGATGGCCTATGAATCTCAGAGACAAGTACTAGTGGCTAATGACACCTGTTGTTAGTCACAGTGGTAGATGACAAAGAAAAGTCAACCTGCACTCAGAGGTTTGTGGCTGTATACATAAGGAATTTTTTTTATTGCAGTATCACTTTCTTTATAGAAATACTCAGTGGGGGAGTAGATACGCACAACTGTGTTAGATTAAAAAGAAAAAGCACCCATGATTCTGTTAGACAACAAAAAAGTAATAGAATTAGGATGTATCACTACCCTATGTTATCACTGAATTTGTTGGCACTGTACCAATTCCACAGAAAACAACATTATCATTAACATAATCTTTCTTACTAAGAATTTGTTAAAAGTGTTCCATTACAGGTTTTAGGAGCAGCTTTTGCTAATGCATTCACCTCAGTTCCTTTTGAGAATTAATGCCTCGAAGCTTACTGAGGTTGAGAGAATGTGGGAAACATACCTTGCTTCATTCAGTGCCTTCTCAGATTCCATCTTCTGAACAGTAACGTGTGATATTTACATGTGGGCATATCTGCTTAAAGGATTCAATAATACACAATCAAATCTGCTTAGTCAGGTTTTCTCATATCTTTTCTTTCAAGAGTGAATACTCTGATGTATGCTGAGCACTGACTTCCGGAAAAAACCTTTCCCACAGACTGAACACTTGTAGGGCTTATCTCCTGTGTGTCTTTGCTGGTGTTTATTCAAATTTGACTTGTTGGTAAAGGCCTTCCCACACTCAGCACACACATAAGGCTTCTCTCCTGTGTGAATTCGGTGATGCTCGTGTAGTTTTGATTTGTTAATGAAAGACTTCCCACAGTCACTGCATTCATAAGGTTTCTCCCCAGTATGAATTCTGTGATGTGTAATCAACTCTGACTTCTGTCTGAAGGTCTTTCCACATTCGGAACAGATATAGGGCTTTTCTCCTGTATGAGTTTTCTGGTGTTTACAGAGATTGGACCTGCCACTAAAGGCTTTCCCACACACAGCACACACATATGGTTTCTCTCCTGTGTGAACAGGCTGATGCACCAGGAGCTGAGACCTAGAGGTGAAAGGTTTCCCACAATCACTGCATTCATAAGGTTTCTCCCCAGTATGAATTCTATGGTGTGTAATCAACTCTGATTTCTGTCTGAAGGCCTTCCCACATTCAGAACACATGTAAGGCTTTTCTGCATTATGAGTTTTCTGGTGTTTGTAGAGATTTGACCTGCCACTAAAGGCTTTCCCACACTCAGCACACACATATGGTTTCTCTCCTGTGTGAACTGGCTGATGCACCAGGAGCTGAGACTTAGAGACAAAAGGTTTGCCACAATTGTTGCATTCATAAGGTTTCTCTCCAGTATGAATTCTCTGATGTACAACTAGTGGTGATTTCTGGTTGAAGGCTTTCCCACATTCATGGCATTCATATTGTCTCTCTCCAGTATGAATTTTCTGATGTATACTGAGATATGACTTCTGTGTGAAGGCTTTTCCACATGTACTACATTCATAAGGTTTTTCTCCAGTATGGATTCTCTGATGAATAATCAACTCTGATCTCTGAGTAAAGGGTTTTCCACATTTAGAGCATATATAGGATCTGTCTTCTACGTGAGTTTTCTGATGTTTAACAAGATTGGACCTGTCACTAAATGCCTTTTCACATTTATTGCACGTATAGGGTTTTTCTCCTGTATGAATTCGTTTATGTACATGGAGTTGTGACTTGGAAGTAAAAAATTTCCCACAGTGACAGCATTCATAAGGTTTCTCTCCAGTATGAATTCTTTGATGTGCAATCAAGCGTGCCTTCAGGATGAAAGCTAACCCACATTTCATGCATACAAATGATTTTTCTCCTGTATGAATTCTCTGGTGCACTGTAAGTGCTGACTTCTGAGTGAAAGCTTTTCCACAGTAACCGCATTCATAAGGTTTCTCTCCAGTGTGAATTCTCTGATGTATAATCAACTCTGACCTATAGGTAAAAGCCTTTCCACATTCAGCACATATGAAGGATTTCTTTCTAATTTTAGCTTTCTCGTGTGTAATGAGATTGGAACTATTATTAAAGACCTTCCCACAATTGGTACTTACACAGGGCTTCACTTTTGTGTGAATTTGTTGATGTACCTGAAGTTGTGACTTGGAAATGAAGGATTGCCCATAGTTACTGCATTCATTTTGTTTATCTCTAGAATGAATTATTTGATGTGCAGTCAATTGTGTCTTCTGGATAAAGGCTTGTCCACATTCAATACATGTATAGGATCTGTCACCTGTATGAGTTTTCTCACATATACTGAGATCTAAATTATGAGAGAAGCCTCTCCCCCATTCACTGCTTTCACAGCGTTTTTCTCTGGTAGGAATTCTCTGGTGTCTTAAGAGAAAAGATTCTTGGAAAAAGAATTTTCCACATTTATCATATTTGTATAGCTGGTCTCTACTATGGGTTTTTTGATGTGTAATGAATTCTTGCTTCTGTACAAAAGCCTTCCCACATTCAGTACATACACAGAAGTTTTCTTCTGTATGAAATTTAGGATGGACATTGAACTGTGACTTCTCAGTGAAGATCTTTCCAAATTTGGCACATTCATAACATTTCTCCTCAGGATGCATTTTCTGACGTGGACAGCATGCCTGTGTATACGTGAGGATTTTTCCACATTGATTAAAGTCCCATAATTTCTGACCTGTTGGGAGTATACTCATGGTCAGTATAAGAAGAAATATTACCATATTTAGTAATCCTAATATTTTAACATTCTTTGAGGCATTTTTAATGTCTATGGAACTATAAATCATGCTTCAAATTATTTCTACATGAGTACCACTGATTGGTTCCTTTGAAGAAAGAAATAATGTTTGAGTTTGTTTTGTTTTGTTTTGTTTTGTTTGAGACAGAGTGCTGTGGCGTCACAGGTCACGGCAACCTCAAACTCTTGGGCTGAAGGGATCCTCTTGTTTTAGCCTCCCTAGTAGCTGGGACTACAGGCACAAGCTACAACACCCAGCTAGTTTTTCTATTTTTAGTAAGGACAGGGTCTTTACTAAAGGCTGATCTCAAAATTGTAAGCTCAAGCAATCCACCCACATCGGCCTCCCAAAGCACTAGGATTATAGGCGTGAGCCACTAGGCCCACCAATGTTTGAGTGAATTATTTTTATAATTGACTCTTTGTAGTCAATATCTTCTTGATGTAAACAACATCATTTAAAGATTTATGTTCTCTTTTCTGATAGCTATTTGGTCACGAGTTTGCCATAGTTTTCGAAGACTGAAAGACGACTTCACATCATTTCTATACTCTCCTTCTCTTTCAACAGGGAAAGAAGCCTTTTCAGGTATTCCCTGCATTAAGCCTAGCAACCCAAACTCCCTTTCTCAGGGGAGAAACAGGATTTTAGTTCAAAGAATAGCTACTAGAAGTTATAGGAGAGGGTACAAGTAGCTCATCCTAGATTAACCCAGAGAAAGGGTCAGGACGAGTAATCTAATAAGGATGGTGGTGATAGTGTATTCATAGAGACACAAGTCTGCAGTTATAAAAAATAATAAACTGAATGAACAGACTACCATGGACAGATGTGGAAAAAGGCAAAGAATAAGAAATACAGCATAGTAACTTTCATTAGTTTTAATAATTCACTTTAAATTTTACAGCATAAATGAGTTCAAAAAGAAATATTTACTGATATAAAACAGTGGCTGATAGTTGGAAGGGAAGAGAGGTCTGGACAAGGAAAGAAAGCAAATGAATTAAGAAATAAAATAAGAGGGGTGGCGACTATGGCTCAAAAGGGTAGGGCGCCAGTCCCATATGCCGGAGATGGCGAGTTCAAACCCAACCCCAGCCAAAAAACTGCATAAATAAATAAGTAAATAAATAAAGACATGGTTTTTTGTTTGTTTGTTTGTTTTTGAGACAGAGCCTCAAGCTGTCCCCCTGGGTAGAGTACTGTGGCATCACAGCTCACAGCAACCTCCAACTC